GGAGCATAAAAAATGAACGGCTGCCATATGGAGGTATGTTGCGTAAGAAGAGCAAAGGCATTGGGGTGGAAAATCAATTTCGCCAAGTCGCCGACATATAGCTTCTGTTGGGTAAAATAGCCCACATTAGCCTGTCTCCTCATGCAAAGCTGAGTGTGGAGGTAGTGGAGACAGATGGAGGGGTGCAGGGATGAGATAGGAATGGTTGGAGCTTATCAATGGAAAGTGGAAAGAAGCAGGAATGGGGAGCACAGTTAAGTGACCACAATGGAGAGAGAGAAAGAAAAATAGTCCATCTAATGAACGCACTTTGATTCCAATTTGTCACATGGAATTGTAAAAGTACCATAATGGCTGTATCCATTAGGTGACACTTGAACTTAATCTGGAGCGGATCGATAGCATAACCTACCATAGAGATCATTTGTGTTCCCTATGGAGCAAACTTATCTGCTGAGTTTCTGCTAATTTCCTGCAGATTACTGAAGGAAAAGTTTGCACTATCCCCGGTGGAGTACAGTTGTTCCACAGGAAATATTACCTCATGATTCGACAGATGCAAACTCTCCAAGACCAGCAACACTGTTAACATCAACCTCTCATGACCCTTAAGTTGCTTCACAGGGACAATACCGCCAGCAGTGCAGGTATGAGACCAAGGCTCTGTGTTGCAGTCATGGTTCAATCATCTATTATGTGCAGGGCTCAGTATGAGATCTCTTTGTTATGTTAGTGTAGTGCAGGCATTGAGATATGTGGTGGATGTCTCAGCATCCAGTGTTATCTGGAACAAACCTGCTAGACATATACAGATAGACAAGCTTTGTACAAAGCAAACAGACAAGCCTTACACTAGGTCCAGCATGGTTGGGTTTGTAAGGAATGTACTGTTGACCATTTGTTCTAAGATATGATTTACCTGCTGCACAGACTTCTCACCATCAAAAATCAGTGCAGTTGCTTTGCCGAGGAAATTATTGGAAGAGCAACTGCGGTCCCATGCACATTGTAGCCTCACCCCATTCATAATCTGCCATATAAATAATAAGCTGTGTCACATCATCTCTGGCCTTTCGCACAGGGATCGAGCTGGACAAATAAAATCTTTCATCCGTGATAAAACAATGAATAAATTCTTGCAGGAGCACACTTTGGAGAAAAACATGCAAATATGTCTTTATAGAAAACCCTGATAATATGGTAAAATGGTACCTTGAAAATATACAGAAATGAGATTCACACCTTTTGCAGTAATGTGTGCAGTAATGCCTTCAATGTCCGCTGAGAATCCTAATGACAGCAGTGCTGATAAAACTTGTGAATAATAAGAGATTAAATTGGATGTCAAACAGTAATGTTATAGACTAACATGATTCTTTTTCCCCGTCAGAATTTGATAAGGTAATCTGAGAAAAAAATAACACCTTTTTCAACCCATGTCAAATATTTGGTCTCCAACAAACTTTAATTTTTACAGTTTGTTTTTAAAACCTTTTCACAAGATAAGTATAAAAATATGAATGTGCCATGTAGGCATGTCTATTTATTAAAAAATATGTTTTATCTGTATTTACTGAATAGATTATTTTATGGGCAAAAAAACACACAAACATCTTGTCTGAAACAGCTATGGTAGGAAATTAACTTTTAAACTTTTAAATGTCACTTGAAACAAAAGCTCCTAATGTTGTTTATCTATGTTTCTTTAACTGATATGAAACCTCAGGTGCTGCTGGTAATTGTTTGCTTCCGAACACTGAACCCGACGTTTGAGGTAAGAATAAAACACAAATAAATCCAAACTGTAAATGTTGAGTTCTCCTACACCTTTTCGGAGAAGTCAGATGGAGGACATTTGGTGCAACCCACCTGAAGCGTGGCAAAATGGCAACTGAGTGCTCCACATTGCCACGATGCATCAGCAGATTTGGCTGCCTGTGGCTTCTGTCTCTGCCCCGAAATGAAATGAATGCTGATGGGAGACAGTTCTGACACAGAGGAGGAGATCTAGTGTGTGTCGCAGATGGTGCTTGATGCACCCAAAGAACAGGGCTTCCAGGGAGCGTTCCAAGCAAAGCAGGAGCGCTGGGAGCAATGCACAAGGTGACTACTTCAGAAGGGAAGGCAGCCAAATTGAAATCAGGTGCACTTTTTTCTTTTTTTCTTTTTTTTTTTTTTTAAATGGAGCAGTTTCATGTCTCGTACACCGGCTTGTTTCTTCTTGCTCTCTGCCCGCTCATCTCTGTGGCTTAGTTTTCTAGCACTCTGTTGTTTGCCTGCATCTTTTGATCCTCATCATGTTTTGGACCTTTCCTGAGATTTAACATTTTGTTTGCCCATGTGGATTGTATCCTGTCTTTTCCTAAATAAAGACTTTGCTTTTCCTTCTCTCTGGTGTCTTTTCTGAGAACTGTGACAACAGATCTGACTTACAGTTTCTGGCCAGGGCCTCATTTCTCAAAAACAATTGCTCTTAGATGTAACAAGTGTTTGTAGAAAAGACAAGCGTGATCCTGGGAGGTTTCATTTATTACCTGTGTGCATTTGTTAAACCAGCACATTGAGATTCTAGGTTGTTTGGAGTAGCTGTCTCTCCTTTAATTTTCTGTGCAGGAGTAAAGCAGATAAAATAATTGGAAAAGGACAATATTAGTTGAGCAAATTCCACTTTGTCTTCAATTCTAACAATTAACACTTTTAGCGCTCATTTCATATAATAGCAATTGCTAATTAGATGCATGGGGCAACTGATTTGGTTCTGCAAATATTTTCCTCTGAATAACACATTATATGACATATATACACATTAGTCAATGACTTTACAGAAATTATTGACAACTGTACACAGTGTATGAGCTCAATGTTGATGCTGCAGTACTTACTTCGCCTCAAGCATAAAATAAGTTAGATGTAGAAAAGATCTTATATGTCTTGTCAATAACAGAGCAGGGAGTTTACCGATTGCTGTTTTCTTTGCAGATCATATTTGCAATATTTTGTGGAGTGATGACGAGCCGTGTATTAGAAACTACTTCAAAGTTTGCAACATTTCCTATTTTTGGCTGAAACAATCTTCAATTACTTTCTATTCTTTGCAGTATCAAAGATATCTAGAGTAGATTTTTCTAGACACGAATCAGAGCACAGAACAGCCCCTAGTTGCTCTAATAATCCAGTCTTAAATTGTTATTGTAGTAAAATCTATGTTCTTCTGTTTCAAATTGTATTTGATATGCTTTCAGAGACAATTGCCTGTGACAGTCTTGAACTCATCACTTTGCTGTGACTTCAAACGTAGTGAGAGTAGATAGAAAAGGCCTTTAGTTCGCTGCACTAGGTTTTATCATTGCTGTGGAGGTTCCCAATTTTAAAACTGAGCTTGATAAAACTGCAACAGAACCTGAAAATAGCCAAATAAATCTAACAAGCAGATTGTATGTATTTAAACTATATATGGGAGTATTATTTAAATCCTCCATCGATTATATGTACCTGCAGCCATGTCTGCTTTTTTGTCCCAAAATGATATGAATAATATAAGTTGTCAGTGCTGCAGGTGACAGTGAGGTTTGCATCCCTTCATCCTGAATACAAAGACACGCATAAAGATCTAAAGTAAACAATTTATGACCCATACCCTTTTATTTAGAGGCTAATATCTAAAGCTTTCACTGTGTTTTACTCAGTTTTCAAATGGCAGCAAACAAAACACTCCAATATCTGGTCTAATGTTTTTGAAGCACAGATAGAGTGCTGTTTTATTTAAAACATCAATGGAAGAAGTGCTTCTCTTTTGAGGCAGAAAGATAAAACGACACGTACACTGCCGACACTATCTGCTTTTATTTCCGTGCGAGATGCTGAAAACAAATCTCTTGAATCATTAAAGTATTATGATACACAGCAATTAATTTCAATAGTGGGAAGTTTCAAGCTTCACATCAGAATATGTTTGGAAAAATGTAAATGGATTTGTCATCATTATCACTGGTCAACAACAACAGCTATGTATTGCTGTGCTTTTGTGAGCTTACTCATGTGCCCTAGAGATAATTTGCACTGTGATCTGGGACAGCAAGATAATCACAAACATTTATAAATCAAACTGAGATGTAGTTTGAACTATCGTATGCATGCAGCATTCTTGAGTACTACTGGTCCATGTGCAAACAGGAATGGCTCAGTTGAAACTTCTTCTTCTTCTTCTTTTTATATGGTAAAAGGAACGGAATTCCTTCAGGGGATTTTTCTTTTTACAACTAGAGCAAAGTAGCAGGATTCTGCTTCAGACACTTTGACTGAGTGACTAAATTGGAAATTAGCCTAAGTTAATGAAATTAAGAAAATCACTCTTTGCTGCTGGTGAGCAAACTTTGTTTTTTGCAGAAGTGAAAAGGCCCCACACAACTTAGTTATTATTATTGGTCTGACATGCATCAATGCAAAACAACTAGATTAATAAAATATCCACAAATCAATGCAGACTAAGAAATGTCTAAAGCATTCTGTTACATAACAGGAGTTGATGATGACTTTAGGGACCTATTTAAAAGTTGACTGCAATTTGATGAGAACTAATGATCACAAAACCAATTCTATTCACAAAAGTTTGCATTTCCCTCTATACACTGCAGGAGAAACCAGAATTATCTTCCTGAATAGACTGACTGTGGAGCTGCTGTGGAGCAGATTAGGGAGCGGACCATACTATTCTTTTCTTTGGGTTAAATAAGACCATGGTGACAGAACACAAAAATGGACTATGAAAATAAAAATAGACCATAAAAATATCATTTTCTGAGCCTTTAAATAATGCACATATTGAATATTTGGTTCTGTTCCTTGGGCAATTTTCTCTCCTGGGTGAGCGTTTCCAATGCAAAATAAAATACTCCATATTTTTTCTGTCTGGCTATGAATACAGCCTATTTCCATTGTAGGACTTAGTTGGGAAATCAAGCCCTGCACCTGAATGTATGATGACACCATGCGTTTCTTACCTTGCCAATGAGCCTGGGGAAAGGAGCTCTCTGGTTCTCGGTTACGATCATAGGAGGGACCAGCAGGGATCTCTTGTGTCTGTATGGCAGCGTTTGGCCAAGACCCAGGATTTTCTGCAACAGAGAAGAGAAACCATATTGTCACACTTAATAATAATCATCCACATTTTATGTTTTGCATTGTGTAGCATATGGTGATGTGATTTGTGCAGCAGCCCTATTTCTTCCCAAACAACTTTTTAGCATCTTGTTAGCAATTACCCTCAACCCCACCAAGGGCACAGAAACACACACTCTCACACAGCAAGCAGTCAAGTATGCAAGCATTTGAAAGGTTGGGAGGAATGTTTAAACAAGCTTCTCCCGGAGCGACTCCCAACTTTGATTGCAGAGTGGTACGTATGTAAGAAATGCAAAACAGGCCGAGAGAAGAGGAGAGGAGATTCTCAGGGAAAACATTAAATAACCACATCCGCTGCTTTACTGCCGTTAATGTCAAATGTGGATTCAAGACACAGCAAGAAAAAGGATCCATCAAAGCAAGAGTGGTAATGACGAAAAGACATAGTTTCAAAAAGTTGCAAAAGCTAATACACTCCTCCACTAGATAATGTCATAGTCATGTCATGATGATATGATTCCCACCATATTATCATTTGTTATTTTTTGATCTACACAAGTTCTAGGTCATGTCTATAATCCTATGGGATGCAGAGATATCTCCAAATTGCATATTTAAACAATGCATGACATAATGTTCTGACTTAAAACACAATGTCATATGATGGGGAATGATTTTTGGATCAATATGAGCTTTATTCTCTATTATTTACAAAATAAATGTGCTTTTTGGACCATACTATTGTTGAAGTTATTCTCGACCTTTGAGCGACCAGCCTAAAATGTTAAATCATCTGTAGGTACCATCTCAAGAAATCCCCCCACCAATTTTTGTGAAAATCTGCCCAAGCGTTGTTGAGTTATTATGTCCACACATGCAGACAGGGAAGGAAACAGTACCCTGTGTGCATGGCTCTGCTGCAGCCAATGAAGAAATGAGAGACGACAAGATTTCGAAGCAATAGCATCGTTCATGCAGAAAGAGCCAATCCGAAATGTTATTTCTGCTCTTGAGAACACAACAGTGCAAACTTATTTCATCATGCACCTTCTTCCTGTTGTAAACAAACACGTGGTTGGTACTGTGAAACAGTGAGAGACCTTCTCCTCTGCACTCAAGAGATCACGGATACAGTTGAGGACCTTCTGCTTAGATGATGACAGAAATAATGTCTGACATTGACACAGAAAACAGGAAGCTGGAAACCTGGCTGCTAATACTGAGTCGTTGACCTACAGCAGAGGACAGTCTGCTGACTGTCTTCACACCTGGACAAGAGCCGAGCAGAGATGACAAACACAGACACACAAACACAGACACACAAACAAGCACACAGCGCATCACCTAAAATCAGAAATCCATGATTTCGCTGTCTATGTAGATCAATAGCAATTTTTTTTTTTTTATTTAAAAGTCATATGGATTGAGCAAAAATCTATTATGAAACAACACACATAGCTCCTCCCCTAATTACCTCTTCTCTCAACTAACTCAAACACAATAGATTTATATCTGGTTTTGTGACTTCACTTGCAAAACTAGAGACCAAACTAGCACTAGAATGGCTCTCAGGCACAAAAGGTTCATTTTTGGCCCATTTGACATCCTGCCCCCAAGTTTCATGGGAATCCAAAGGGTTGTTGTTGCGTAATCCTGCTGACAAACAACCAAATAAAGTCTCATTAGCTAAACCGACTGTTAGTAACTCAGCTACTCAAGAAATTAAAGCCTAACTGGGCTTGAAACCCTCGGTACCAATGGCTGATGACATGATGCTCATGTTGTTAAGACTCCTGGTGGACTGAGCAGTCTCTTGTTTACCCTGTAAGCTGCTTTCAATCAAACACAGAAAACATCATCCACCTCCAGATGTGTTGAAGATGAATTTCAGATATTCCCCTGATTATAAAATTAAAATAAATTCCAAATCTCTGACATTTTAGTTGGCTTCAAAAAGCCAACAACTCAGTTTTTGAATCTTTGCATAATTGACCTCTCATGTGTCGTGTGTTACTACAGCTAATTATCAACATCAAGGCAGTCACCGCTACAGAACGTTGAGCAAAATGACAGAATAATGGCGAAGAAAAACATCGCAGCAACAGGACGAGCCGTTGATCTCTGGTTTAAGTGACATCACAGTCAAAATATGAAAGGGAAAATGCCGACCCGAGGGTTTGGCGGTTTCATTTGCAATGCAAATAGTCTGTTTTGTCCTTCATCTTTTATAGCCTACTGTGCAACACTTTATTGACAATGTGAGGTGTACACAGATGCAATTGTGTGTGTGTGCAGGTGGCTGTTTGTGTGTTTACTGTTCACACTGCTGTTCTTGGCTGACAGGGACTCTGGCAGCACTCTCACCCCTGTCAGGGTGATGGAAAGAGAACAGGTAAGAGGGAAAAACTGAGCCATTTGTTTACTGCACAGTGCCGACACTGAGACAGCGAGGGCATCGCCGCCGCCGCCGTTATCCAGCAAACATTCACAGCGCAAACCGCCTCACCACCATACCATCCATCCTTCCCTGCTGCAAGGGTCAGAGAAATTAAACAGTCATCATAAACACAAGCGGACCAGAACAAACCAAAGTTACACTGTGTGGTCTCTGAAATGGTCTCTTATCAAACCCACTGGGGGATGACCTTTCAAATGTCAAAGACAGGAATCTAAAACTGGACCTGAAGCAGTTAAACAGAACACTGCACAAAACTGTTTGAGATTATGTGAGCAATTTTGTGTCTAAAGAGCACAGTCAGTGGTGTGTACATGTATGTGACCAGTTCACAGGCGAGCTGATGGACTTTTAAGCACTGCCTGTATAAATCCGGCCTGAGTCCCAAGCCCAGGGATGAGCACTTCAATCCCATCATGCACAGGTCTCAGCTGTGAGGTATTTGTAAAGGGAAGAGGAGCTGTAAGGCAAACAGGCACCATGAGGTATTTTTAGTGGCTGGGCGGAGGGACGGGCGGCCGAAGTTAGAGCTTAGATAGATCACACTGTGAAATCCACATCTTCAGTAGGCTGAGATACAGTAGATATGGAGAGGGAGCGATGGCGCTTTAAAAGCCATTACATTCCGGGGGTGCATCAGGACAGAGAGACACACTGTTGTTCGGCTGGATAGAGACATTTGTCCTGCCACTGAGGATGGCTCCTGCAGGGCATTCTGGGAGAGTGACTTGCAGTCCTACTTTTTTCTCCCCCCTCAACTTTTTTTTTTTTTTATAGCTCTTCTTCTCACCTGTGCATGTGTGATGAATCGTGTTCTCGCAGCCTGGTAACACCGTGAGAGAAGGAAGCTGTGAATCTTTAATGTGTCCTGTTCATAAATTACCACCACACCATCAACCCTGATCCAGCCTCAATACATTTGCCTCTGTCTCAGTGTCGCTGATGTTCATCGGGTCATTTCAATGTGCGGAGGTGAAAGGAGGGGATTTAGCTCGTGTATGTGTGTGTGCAGTGTTGGGATCCACTTGTGGCCTCCAACATGAATCTGATCTGCACAACACTGTGTGTGTTTGTGTGTGAGGGCAAGAAAGACAGAAGCCTTTATCATTGTCATCTGAGTGCAGAGTAACTGTGGCAGCAAAGTCACGTCCTTGTCCATTCTGCCATTTTCACTCTAAATGCTATATTGAGAAGTGTCATTACTCATTGCTGACAAAGTGTTGGAGACCTGGTGATAAATGGATAATATCAAGGCCAACTATTCAATGCGGTGTAAAATCTTGGATGTGCGGCCAGGTCGGGCGATCAGTCAGCTCTCCAAACACTCACTTGTGTCAGCAGTTTGTGAACTCACTTTGTTAGGTACACCTGGATAAAACTGCAGCAGTAAATAATGAAGGTGGGATTTAACGTCCTTACGGTTACAACGTTCACTTGGTGTTGAAACTGTTGTAGAAAGATGTTGATTTAACATTATAGTCACTTTTGAAGCTGCAGTGTGTGGTGCTGTTGAATTGCGTTGCCTTATACCTTATACAGCCACATGCTTATATTATAATGCCAATCGAAATGAATATCATTGATCATTAACTAAGCAAGAGAACCACATCTTTGTATTTTGCATGTTCAACAGCAACAGAAACTACATTCCCCAACATTATAATACAGTTAAATCATCACTAATTACATTCATACTGAAGGAAGGATTGATTGGAGGAGTTCATTTGATTAGACAGGATTTGTTTTTGCTCAGTGAACATAAAAACAATAAGTTTCACACTTGCTAGGTTGTAAATGTAACAAGATCCAAATTGCTGACAATAGGTTGGTGGTAAATAATGGTGAGTTCTAAAACGAGAGCGCTTACAGTTTCGTTGGAGGGAATCAGTCAGTCAGGCAAATCAGAAAACCAGGTGACCCAAACAAAAAATCCAACTCAGGCAGAAAACCGGTAAAACCTCAGGAACAGAGCCAACGAAGAGCTCATCTTTCTCAGACCGATCAGAAAACCAGTCACAAGAGTGAAATCACTAGAGGAGGTTTGGATCACAGGTGAAACACATCAGGGCGGGGCCAACAATCACAGCAATCAGGAAGAAGACAGGAAGTCAAATAGCATGCAAGGTAAATATTTTCAAATTAAAAGAGGAATTGAGAAATAGTCCAAACAACTGAAAAATGAGTCAAACGCAAAGTATTTAAAGTTCTTCACAGGAGCAGATCCTAATACTGATAATATGTGACAGCACAAAGTGGAATCAACAAATCACAACCACATTTTTCTGAGATCCACGCAGCTCATTATAAATGAATCATTTCATTTTCCAAATTAATCAATGCTGTGCTCAATAATCCAGACTGCTACAAAGACATTGGATGAACAAAAATCATAAACTCAAATAAAGTACATGTTAAATGTTTAGTCCTATGGTCTACCTTCTAGTATATGTGATAACAAATTAAAATATTTAATGACATTGTTAAATAAATAAATCTCATCCTCCTCATGCCAAGATGAAAACCATTAGACTCTTGTAG